TAACTGGCTAACGTTGGCTAGCTTGCTAGCTACTTCCAGACACAAATGAGAGAACAGCTCATTCTGACCATTTTACTAGCCCTAGCAGAGCTGGTTAGGCTGGTTTTATGTTATCCAGAGCATTGGTGACAATTTAATTACGTTTTTTTGCCAATGTTTACTGACACGGGCCATATTCAACGGGTGTTGAGCGTTCGTAAATTCGTCAGTTATTCTGCACTCTGGCACACTCAGACGAGAGTGCTCTGAAAACGGAGTAGATAGCCAGAGCGAATTTACCAGATACGTCTATCGACAGTCGTCGCAGTGACATCATAAACATTCTATTGAAATAGTTACTTGCATAGTGGAGTCTTTTGTTTAGACATGTAGCTAGCTAGCTAAACAATGAACCATAATCCCAACTCATAACGTTACTACCCTGCATGAATCTGCAGGTAGCTAACCAACCAGGTTCAATGTTAGCTAGCTACCATTAGGCTATAACTAGCAATGCAAATGGCTCTGAGATACGAATAATATTACTACAAAGATCATACAAGTAATGTTAGCTAGCTAGCCAGCCAGCTAATGTTTGCTAGCTAGCTAACAGTTCACTTTAACTTGAAATGAAAACGACTTTCTGACAAAATTAGAAATGTGTAATATCTGAAATGTAGCTAGCTAGACTCTCTAACCTGTACACATGGATGGACGCTTCTCCCTCTCTGTCATGGATGCCATGGTTGCCCTTAGTTTTAAGATGTAATCCGGAGACAGGTGTTTTATACAACAGCCTTCTGTGTGTTCTCTTTTCGACTCCGTCTGCATATTTGCAATCAAATGGCAGAATTTTCTCCATCGCCTTAGCTATCATACTCTTATTCCACTGATTACAAAACTTGGTCCTCCAGAAAGTGGAGAGCAATACTTATGCAGCGCTACTATGTGATATCTTTCAAAAAACAATTACCTACACATACTGACCAACTCATTTTATAGACAGAAACATGCTACATGGCAGACCAATCCAAACTCATCTCTCGGCATGTCCAACCCACTCATTATCTCAGCCAATCATGGCTAGAGGGAAGGTTGCTGTCTTTTTCGGTGGCTAAACCAACTAGGCTTGTAATTTAACAATTGTATTCGTATTTACAGATGGCATACAAGTTTGTTATTAAGGCACATGAAAGTTCACATGTTCCAGAAGGCATTTCTGCCAAAAAAAATGCATTTAGATTTTTAAAAAAAAGTTTATGTTCAAAAAATGGCGCGCTTGTGAAGTAGTGACGCGCGACACGCCTAGTTTCCTGAAACGAGTCACATATCGCAAGCCCATAATAAGTCAATAGGGCTAACTGACTAGCCTCTGTAGCTCAATTGGTAGAGCATGGCGCTTGTAACGCCAGGGTAGTGGGTTTGATCCCCGGGACCACCCATACGTAAAAAATGTATGCACACATGACTGTAAGTCGCTTTGGATAAAAGCGTCTGCTAAATGGCATATTATATTAGTACTGTTAGCTAGCCAGATAGCCACGAAGAATTGTTAGCTAGCTACTGTACCCACGAATAATTTACAACTATCTTGCATAATATTAGTTCCATGTCAATTTTTTCCTGTTTAACTATCTGGCTAGCTAAATTATTACGATTCACATATCTAGTTGATAATTATTAAGTAAAACGTTTGCTTTGTGTATATCTTGTTTCATCTATTGTTGCCATTGTCCTGGCTGGAAGAAGGTTCAGTGAATGGGGAGGTGAAGCGTGAGGTAATACAGTAGGGGGGGTGCGAGTGCTTCTCAAATGTATTGTTTTATGCATTCTCCACACTCTCGTCGTCACAAGAACATACTCAAGAGAACGTAGTCTGAGAATGCACTCGAAGCATGAGAGTGTGGAGCATGGTAGTATGCATATTGAGAAACATCCCTAGAGTTTGAAAGCTACAACCCCCCCACCCACCCAGTAATTTTCGAACTGTCCCTAAATAATCCTATTAAAACACTGCATGAGAAATATGTCTGAAACTCAAAACAATTGACAGTACAGGGTATAAAACACTACTTAGCCGAATATGCTATTAACAGCCATTATAGCATTGCTTACCGATAGGCCTATTTTGATTACTATTTCAATTCGTCACCACGCTCTACCGTCTACTGGTATTTCCCAACTGTAGTCCTCGAGTACCCCCAACACACAGACTAAGATAAACATTTACATTTTATCCCCGGACAAGCACACCTGAATGAACTTGTTAACTAATCCTTCGATTAGTTGAATCAGGTGTGTTGGTCCAGAGCTACAACAACAATGTGTGCTGACTGAATCGACTAGATAATTGGAGGATGCGGGCATCGATCCAGCTACCTCTCGCATGCTAAGCGAGCGCTCTACCATTTGAGCTAATCCCCCTGTGACGAAAATAAGAAGTATGAGATCTCAATGACGGCACTGCCAAATCCCTCGTCAACTAGAAAGGGTCATTTTTATGAATAAAAAGTATGCTCGCTTCAACTGTCTAAATGTATTTTTCATGGTAGTTCAGTAAGCCTAGTGGTAAAAATAGTTGTATTGTATTGTTTGTGAGTTTTGTGTGTTATATAGCAGAACAACCTGTGAGTCTGGAGTTCCCCCTGCTGGCTGTCTGTGGAATAAGATCAGGATCAGCTCGTGGGGAAATGCATGTATGTAGCCCGAACAGCCACTAATGGTCACTGTTTTCCTGTCTTTTGTCGTTCTAGTGCTCACTTGGTCTCAGTGGATTGGTCCAAGGCCTTTCTACCGTAAACAGAGGAGAGGACAACCTTTCAGTAGAATAGATTGAGAGTCACAGCTCCCAACATTTATTAACAAATTAACAGCTACTAAATGAAAGATCTGTCTCATAAACTACACATGTGCCTACATATGACAACGAAAGTTGATTTTTGCATCACCCCAAGCGACCATAGAATGTGTCCCTTTAATTTAAGTGATGATTAGGTGGTTTGGTGGGATTTTTTAAATTCCAGTGTGTTTCTGCTTGCCACAACAAAGGCAAAAGAGAGAACGAACTGGCACACAGACTAAGATATTATAACCTGTTTAGAAGTGGAAAGAAGGCTGTCCATCATATCTCAAAGCCATTATGACCAGGGCTCCTCCTCCACTGTAGGATAAATAATAATAATAATAATAATAATAATAATAATAATAATGATTTATTCTATATAGCACTTTTCATTACACACAGAATCTCAAAGTCGTGTTAAAAACAAAAATAAATTCAAGGTGATCTGATACATACTTGGCCGATGGCTTCCACAGCTTCAGATGATAATAATAAGATGGAGAGTGATGGAGTCTGTAGTTAGAGATGAGTTGAGTTGAGGCAGTAAGGCAGTTCACTTCAGACATTTAGCTTGCACTTGTATGTGCTAGAGAACTGTGCTACAAGCCCATTATTTTCACTATGTATAAATATATAGACAGAGATACATGTATGACTCCTGTTATTTTTGTTTTACCTTTTAATAAAGCACTTAAATGTTGATCTCTCTTAATGGTTCATGAGTAATTTGGTATTGTTAGTGTTTTTTAAATTGTAAAATGAGAAAGACAATGTAGCAGTGTGTGTCTGTGTCCCTGTCCGAAGTTAAGTTTCACTTGTGTGGTCATCTGGGTATCTGTTTTGGTTTGTCCACTAGCCCATTGACTACCTCTGTAGCATGGGTGATACGTTGATTAACAGAGGTCAACCCTTACAGTCATCAACAACAACAAAAATAAGAGTCCTGAGCAAAAGCATCCAGAAAAAGAGGTCCAAAAAAAGCAGAGGAGAACATACATTCACATCAATGTTTGGAGTCTCCCATTCCACCTGCTGGGGAAAAGCTGAAACACACACACAAAATATATGACATATCAGACAAATTATTTCTTGCCAATAACATATAATATAGTTTCTGTAAATAGCGCACTAAATTTTGAAACGGAATCCTGAAAGTTCCATTCTATGCAGCACATTTCTATGTGCAATGTATAAACCTTCTAACGTTGTGATCTAATGTCCCGCCTGAAGTTATAGTTTAACCAATGGGAATGCCAATAGCTCTTCAAGGTGACCAATTAAATTGCACATTCCCCACCATGGTCCTTCCTTGACATTATGGCCTGCATTTTGGACTGTCACGTAGCGTTTTAATGTCCCTGCTTAGGACTTGAACATATATAGTATTCGCACCAACAAATTTGGTACTCCCTCATTTGATAGATTTGGAAAGAAAATACGAGTTGCTAACTTACTCGGTTCCACAAGACATTACAGCTCAGTGGTGGGCGCGAGGGTGAGGCCGTGAGGACGAAATTAGGGAAGGGAGTGGGAGGTCTTCCACCGACTCATCCTAAACCGCAAGCAGTGTACTGTGGACAACATTGTACTGAAACTCCAACCCGAGGTTCCTAGACGCTATCTGGCTGCTAAGTGCAGCCCGCTCGGGATAAGGCCAGACGTTGGAATTGCGCTTTTGCGACACCGGTATGGTTTATGATGTGGTAGTATGTGAGCGAGACACATTCACATGCTCTCCAAAAATGGACACAATAGGAAATCATTCTTATAATTGTGCATCTTAGCTAGTTAGCCACCAAGTCAGCTAATGCACAGTTTTGGGGCAGATTACTGATAGCAGCAACTGCCCATATTAGTGTCAAGGTATGTTTACTGTCTGTGTAGGATTTGGCATAAGAAGGCTCCTTTTCAAGAGCGAGCATGGAGGGGCGTTGTGGATTTAGCCAACTTTGCTAGCTAGCTAACTCAGTCCAAGACTTCTATTTTTAACCAGATTGGTGGTTGTTTTAACTAATTGCATGTTTGTCAATTGTAAAGCATACATGTTAACATTTTAACAGAGAGGTTGACTTGTTAGTTTACAGAGGAGTGCTTTCAAGGTTTGCTTGATTAATGTTGTCAAAGGATATAACAATCCAGCTAGCCAGCTAAGTAGCCCGGGTCAAGCTCGTGCACCCTAATGAAGGAGTACAAAGTGGTTGTGTTGGGAAGCGGCGGCGTTGGCAAGTCCGCGCTGACTGTCCAGTTTGTCACGGGCACGTTCATCGAGAAATATGACCCTACAATTGAGGACTTCTATCGGAAAGAGATTGAAGTGGACTCGTCGCCTTCGGTGTTGGAGATCCTTGACACGGCAGGGACAGAACAGTTCGCCTCCATGAGAGACCTGTACATCAAGAACGGCCAGGGTTTCATACTTGTCTACAGTCTCGTCAACCAACAGTCATTTCAGGTAAAGGCCCTTACTACCTGTTGTTACCAATACCTGCCCACATGTCAATGAGTTTACATCTTGATAGCCTCACCAGCTATCAAGATGCACTGTAGCCATGTTTTAAATGGGCCTACTGAGCAATCCCAGTTGTCTAGATATCATTTCGAGTCCTAACCCCATTGTTGACAAAGTACATTTACATTTTAGTCATTTAGCAGACGCTCTTATCCAGAGCGACTTACAGTTAGTGAGTACATACATCATTTTTTTTATTTTTCATACTGGCCCCCCGTGGGAATCGAACCCACAACCTTGGCGTTACAAACGCCATGCTCTACCAACGGAGCTACATCCCTGTAGGAACCAATTGGAGAGATCCTGCCATAGCCTTAATCTCTACAACTATGGGCCAAGTCCAAAATTGTATAAACTCAACAGGTTGGAAGAAGGGCCAATGGGCTGCTACTTAACCCATTGATATACAGTACCAGTCAAACGTTTGGACACACCTACTCATTCCAGGTTTTTCCATTATTTTTACTATTGTAGAATAATAGTGAAGACATCAAAAATATGAAATAACACATGTGGAATCATGTAGTAACCAAAAAAGTGTTAAACAATTTGAGATTCTTCGAAGTAGCCACCCTTTGTCTTGATGACAGCTTTGCACACTCTTGGCATTCTCTCAACCAGCTTCATGAGGTAGTCACCTGGAATGCATTTCAATTAACAGGTGTGCCTTGTTAAAAGTTAATTTGAGGAGTTTATTTCCTTCTTAATGCGTTTGAGCCAAACGCATGTGTTGTGACAAGGTAGGGGGTGGTATACAGAAGATAGCCCTATTTGGTAAAAGACCAAGTCCATATTATGGCAAGAACAGCTCAAATAAGCAAAGAGAAACGACAGTCCATCATTACTTTTAAGACATGAAGGTAAGTCAATACGGAACATTTCAAGAACTTTGAAAGTTTCTTCAAGTGCAGTCGCAAAAACCATCAAGCGCTATGATGAAACTGGCTCTCATGAGGACCGCCACAGGAATGGAAGACCCAGAGTTACCTCTGCTGCAGAGGATAAGTTAATTAGTTACAGAAATTGCAGCCCAAATAAATGCTTCAGAGTTCAAGTAACAGACACATCTCAACATCAACTGTTCAGAGGAGACTGTGAATCAGGCCTTCGTGGTCGAATTCCTGCAAAGAAACCACCACTAAAGGACACCAATAAGAAGAAGAGACTTGCTTGGGTCAAGAAACACGAGCAATGGACATTAGACCGGTGTAAATCTGTCCTTTGGTCTGATGAGTCCAAATTTGAGATTTTTGGTTCCAACCGCCGTGTCTTTGTGAGACATAGTAGGTGAACGGATGATCTCCGCGTGTGGTTCCCACCGGGAAGCATGGAGGAGGTGGTGTTATGGTGTGGGGGTGCTTTGCTGGTGACACTGTCAGTGATTTATTTAGAATTCAAGGCACACTTAACCAGCATGGCTACCACAGCATTCTGCAGCGATACGCCATCCCATCTGGTTTGCGCTTAGTGGGACTATCATTTGTTTTTCAACAGGACCCAACACACCTCCAGGCTGTGTAAGGGCTATTTGACCAAGAAGGAGAGTGATGGAGTGCTGCATCAGATGACCTGGCCTCCACAATCACCCGACCTCAACCCAATTGAGATGGTTTGGGATGAGTTGGACAGCAGAGTGAAGGAAAAGCAGCCAACAAGTGCTCAGCATATGTGGGAACTCCTTCAAGACTGTTGGAAAAGTATTCCAGGTGAAGCTGGTTGAGAGAATGCCAAGAGTGTGCAAAGCTGTCATCAAGGCAAAGGGTGGCTACTTTGAAGAATCTCAAATATATTTTGATTTGTTTAACACTTTTTTTGGTTACATGATTCCATATGTTATTTCATAGTTTGTCTTCACTATTATTATACAATGTAGAAAATGACAAACCCTTGAATGAGTAGGTGTGTCCAAACTTTTGACTGGTACTGTACATCGAAGAGCTATGCAGCAATAACTGTTCCACAAACGTTTTCCCACAGTTCCTGAGAATATCCTTTCTATCCATCCCTAACTCCAGGACATTAGGCCGATGCGAGACCAGATAGTGCGGGTGAAGCGCTTTGAGAAGGTGCCACTGATCCTGGTGGGCAACAAGGTGGACCTGGAGTCTGAGAGGGAGGTTGCGGGTGCAGACGGCCGGGCCCTGGCTCAGGAGTGGGGCTGCCCCTTCATCGAGACCTCGGCCAAGAGCAAGACCATGGTGGACGAGCTGTTTGCTGAGATCGTCCGTCAGATGAACTATGCCACGCTGCCAGAGAAACAGGAGCAGTGCTGCACGGCCTGTGTGGTGCAGTAAGGGAGTAGGGGACACTGTCCTCTCCACAACTCTCCCCCAGGTAAGAGGCTGAAGCACTACACTTCACCCTCCACACACGTAGTAATACTAAGAAGTGAAAATGCACACTGATAGGCTTTTCACTGACAACAGGCAAGAATTCACAGGTTGTCAAAAGACTTATGGGCATGGATAGCAGCAGTGTAGAGTTCGTAATGCGTGTACAAAAATGTGCATGCGGAGGCAGGGAGATGAGAGGATCAGGGGTGGCACAAAGGGAACGAAATGACAGCTGTTAGAAGAAGCAGACAGGGAAAGGGTTTGCTGCACGGACTGATAAAACCGTTGGTTTAGCCTGTTATGATTAGATCAGACAAAGAATGTGGCGTGAAGAAGCCAACTGTCTAAGCAGTGAGCACAGGGGTGGAAAAGAGGAGTGAGAGAAGTGAATGGTAATGTACAAGCAGAGAGATGAGACCTATGAGCAAGAGGGCAGATCCCAGACAAAGGAAAAGGAAAACGCAACATCCTGAAATATAAATTGATGTTCCAAAACAGGAAGCAGATTTTCTTCACTGTGAACTACCTTCCCCACACATACAGTAGACACACATAAACATTGAGGTATTGGTCATTGTAACTGGGTTTCACAGTTTACATATTGATGAAATGCAAATGTCCTTAATTGTAAAGGTGGTAATTACTTAAATATTAATATCCTCATACCTACGAGTGTCTCAACACCTATTGTCTTCAGTCTTTCCTCTACTCTCAGTAACACAGTACTTTTTTCTTTTTCCATTGTTGTAAAGTTCCTGTTTTGATGACCTATGACCCCAGGAACCACTTCAGCTCCATCACAGCTTCTGACCTCTCCAGCTGGCAGTGTTACCTACCAGAGGGCAGATTCTTGTCGGTTCATAAACCAATTCAAGGGAGTCTTGAGCCTGCCCAACCTTTGATATCTTGACTGTGGAACACATTCACCTGCAGACTCACTGGCCTTCATGGTGAAGGCCCAGGGAATAACTACTTTTCAGTGTGTATAGGACAGATTTACAGGAATGAGGATGAAGGGTTGTCTATGGATTTCTATTTTCTCATTTGGGGTTGGGGAGTGCTAGAGCAATGAGCAAAGTAATCTGCTCGGGACCACAGCGTCCCTTTTGAAGCTGCTCAGTCATTATATCACCAAGTTTTACTTTGTACTTTTATCGGTTTATTAAATCTGGTATATCATTTTGAAGTGATAACCATAATGCAGGTTTGGGCCTCGGGCCAGAATTCAATCAAAACATGGTAATTATATGATTGCTGTGCTCTACAGCAGTGTTTACCAAAATACCTGATTCAAGTCATTAGCTAGGTTTCCATCCAATGGCGACAGATTTTCAGAATAATATTGTAAAATATGCATAAAGGAAATATGTGCATTTCCCCACCAGTGGTGTTTCCATCAAATGGACTTGTTGCAGATAAAAATCAGTTTGTGATGACCGTTTTCATGTACCGAATAAAAATCTAAAGTTCAATGTGTTAGTTTTGTCACACACTATTGTGTTAAATAGAAGATGTGCCAACTCTGGTCTTGGCACGTGTGCTCTAGCCAACCGCCTGCAGAGATAGTTCCGGTAGGCTAGTCTACATGATGAGATTATTATGGATAAGAACAAAAATATTTGTATATGTCAAGCATCGATCATCATGTCACCAGAATCAGACCCTTGATAGTTATTGGAAAGGAACATCAAGATCACCGTGCACTTTCACCCCCCGTGACCTTCATACATTATTTAATCTGTCACCTAATAAACTGCGTGGTAGTTGGAGGACCACATCATCGCGTGACTCAAGTTTACTTCGATATTATGGTTATATCAATATTTGCGCATAAAGGAATTCCACCGCCACTTCTCGCATAATACATTTTAGACAAAAAGATCCCACCGTGTCGAACGAACAAATTATCTGTCTGCATTTATAAAATTGTACCGAAACTTCCTGTTTCCATCACAGCTGTCGTGATTTTTTTTTATACAGTATGATTTTACTCGCAAAAACTGTGGATGGAAACATGGTTAGTGAGGGCTTAATGATTAGTTGACTGGAGTTGGGAGACAATGCTTTACAGGGCCTCAAAACCAACTGTATGGTGGTCATAGAAGCAGTCCCAATTTTCAATTATTTCGACGGGCCTGATTCTGGTGACATGATGATCAATTTGCCCCCAAGCATGAGACGTTCACGTTGAGATGACTGAAGAGCACATCCATGGTTGTTTTCTGATTACCGCTGTGTGGTTGCTTGAGATACAGGTTCCTCAGTCATTTGGATGATGACTGTGTTAGATGGTTTGATCAAATTCTGGCCCTAAACTAACTTTTACATTATATTATGATTTTTTAAAAAGTTTTTCTCATAACCTATTTATTAAAATATCTAATTGCATTGTTAGCCAATTATCAAAGTTTTCTTTTATACTTGCTTTTGGTTTTGCGACTTTAGTGTCGTTTTTTTTAATTTTTAAGTTGAGTATTAACACAGCCTTAAATGATTTCAGTCTTACGTTGGTTTCTGTGTGGTTATTCAGTCTCATACTTTCATCTCTTCAACACAATTACTGTCATGTAGTACAAATCTGATACTAAGATAGGACACTGACCTCATCATGTGGTCACAAGTTTGGTATCCTGATTCAAATGGTCTTACATTTCTGGTTTAACTGTTCATTACAGACTGTGATAAACACTATACAGCTCTGGAAAAAATTAAGAGACCACTGCAAAATTATCAGTTTCTCTGGTTTTACTATTTATAGGTATGTGTTTGGGTAAAAATAAATTTTTTTGTTTTATTCTATAAACTACTGACAACATTTCTCCCAAATAACAAATAAAATATTGTCATTTAGAGCATTTATTTGCAGAAAATGACAAATGGTCAAAATAACAAAGAAGATGCAGTGTTGTCAGACCTCGAATAATGCAAAGAAAATAAGTTCATGTTCATTTTTAAACAACACAATACTAATGTTTTAACTTAGGAAGAGTTCAGAAATCAATATTTGGTAGAATAACCCTGATTTTCAATCACAGCTTTCATGAGTCTTGGCATGCTCTCCACCAGTCTTTCACATTGATGTTGGTTGACTTTATGCCACTCCTTGGTCAAAAATTCAAGCGCCTCGGCTTTGTTTGAAGGCTTGTGACCATCCATCTTTCTCTTGATCACATTCCAGAAGTTTTCAATGGGGTTCAGGTCTGGAGACTGTGCTGACCATGACAGGGTCTTGATCTGGTGGTCCTCCATCCACACCTTGATTGACCTGGCTGTGTGGCATGGCGCATTGTCCTGCTGGAAAAAAACTATCCTCAGAGTTGGGGAACAATGTCAGAGCAAAAGGAAGCACATTTTCTTCCAGGACAACCTTGTACATGGCTTGATTAATGCGTCCTTCACAAAGACAAATCTGCCCGATTCCAGCCTTGCTGAAGCGCCCCCAGATCATCACCGATCCTCCACCAAATTTCACAGTGGGTGCGAGACACTGTGGCTTGTAGGCCTCTCCAGGTCTCCGTCTAACCATCAGACAACCAGGTGTTGGGCAAAGCTGAAAATTGGACTCATCAGAGAAGTTGACCTTACTCCAGTTCCTCTACGGTCCAATCCTTATGGTATTTTGCAAACCTCAGCCTGGCTCTTCTTTGCTTCTCATTGATGAAGGGCTTTTTTCTAGCTTGGCACGACTTCAGCCCTGCCCTTAGGAGCCTGTTTCGAACCGTCCTCGCCGTGCACTTCACCCCAGCTGCCGTTTGCCATTCTTTTTGTAGGTCACTTGATGTCATCCTACGGTTGTTGAGTGACATTCGAATGAGTTGGCGGTCATCCCAGTCAGTAGAGTCGTTTTCGCCCTCTGCCGGTCTGTAGCTTTGTTGTCCCCAATGCCTGCTGCTTGAACTTGTTCTTATGAACCGCCATCATTGAAATTTTAAGGATGGAAGCAACCTGACACTCACTGTATCCTTCTGCCAGTAAAGCCAGAATTTAACCCTTCTTTTCCTCACTCAAAACATTCCTTTTCAACTCTTTTGGCATGGTCATAGTTATTTTTTTATTAATTTTACTTTTGAGGCACTATTAGCACTGTTTTTGCCATTGAGCTGGTCCTATTGCAAGAGGATAGTGATGACCACAGCAGTGGTTTTTATACTTTTCCTCGTTAAATAAGATATGGTTCAGGTGATCACCTAATCAGTACCTAATTCAGTAGAATGAGGTGTGCCTGTGTTGGAATTCAACAGACACTGGAATGGAATGGCTGTCATACATGTAGAGATGCTGATTTAAGAAAAATGTGCAGTGGTCTCTTAATTTTTTCCAGAGCTGTATATAGAATATTGTTTCCTACTTCACATCAAATGTAAATCACTTCATGCAAAGTGCTGTCCTTCCTTCCACTGCACATAATGAGAACTGGCACAATATTCATATGACCCAACTCGAGTGGCCTTGAGGTTGGGCCATTCTGAATATGGTGTAGAACAGATATGAGTTTCTGTCATGTAGAAAGAATAGTCTGTTCTATATAATATATTTATATCTGCAACGTTGAATGTGTTGCACATAGTAAGGCCAAATACTGTCACACAATCAGCCACAAGAGGGCAGCATTCTCTACATTATTTGAAAGCAGATGTTAATCAATAGATCTGGGGGCTTTTTTAAAGTATCTCAAACCACGTTTCCATCCACAGATTTTATGCGACAAGTCATATTGTATTCAACAAAATCACGACAGCTGTGATGGAAACAGGAAGTTTCGGTGTAATTGTATAAATGCCGACAGATAATTTGTTCGTTCAACATGTTGGGATCTTTTTGTGTCGTAAAATCAATTTGCGGGAAATGGCGGTGGAAACGCCTTTATGCGCAAATATTGATATAATCATCTCGAAAATGCGATGATATGGCGTGTGGTCCTCCCACTACTACTCGGGAAACCATACACTTTATTAGGTTACAGATGAACTTCACAGGGTGGTGAAAGTGCACGGTGATGAGTTTGATACTGCCTTCCAATAGATCGAGGGTCTTATTCTGGTGACATGATGGTAGATGCTTGACTGCCGTTTGACAGATAAAAAATATTCTCGCGTTTACCCATAATCTCATGTAGTAGACAAAACAACCCGCACTGTATCTGCTAGCTGTTGGCTAGAGCTCACGTGCCAAGATCAGAGTAGGCAACGTTTTCTATTTAACACAACCGTTTTTGTCTTTCAACTATCGGTAGAGTTGAAAATGCGATGGAAACACATTGAACTTTAGATTTTTATTCGGTACATGAAAAAGTACGTTTTGTGTGCACTATGTCATCATGCAGGGATTTTTATGGGCAACAAATCCGTTTGGTGGAAACACACCACTTGCGGGAAAATGCGCATATTTTATTTATGAATATTTTAGAATATTCGCATGAAAATCTGTCGCCAATTGAATGGAAACCTAGCTACTGGTTGTATTTTCAAAATGGTCATAGACATACTACTGTTTCTTCAGTAGATCAATACTACCATACTTATTATTCTGAAAAAAATGTCTAGACTGCAGGTACATGTCCAAACCTTTAGGTGGCAGAGTGATGTATTCTTTTGCGGAAAATGCCAAGGAAATGAAAGAAAAACGTGACGTCAGGCTACTGAAACATGTAAACAAACGGGACATCTTTGGTACAAGTACTGCAAATTACATTTGATAACATTAGTTACACGAGTAACCATGAAGAGGGTATTTGTAACTGTAGGAACAACAAGCTTTGATGACCTAATCGAACGTGTTACTTCCCCTGAAGCTGTTCAAGTGAGTATGATCTGTGATGGCTAGTACAGAAGCTAACGTTAGCTAGCTAGCCAACTGTCCTCAAAAACTAGACAATAATAATTTGAGTAGACGTGCCATACCCTCGCATTGTTATATTTCTAGAAAGTTCTTTATCTCTCTCTTGAAGGAGTTGAAAGCCCGCGGCTATCAACATTTGGTCCTGCAGGTCGGTCAAGGCTCTATTCTCCCAGATTCAGACAGCTGTCACGAGCTCACGTTAGAGGCCTTTCGATTCAAGGATTCCATCGCTGAAAATATCAGATGTGCCGACCTGGTTATCAGCCATGCTGGTGTGTATCTCTTTTTTAAAGAAATTAAACAAACTAGCTAAACTACCATACCATTGTGCTGGTCAATGATGTTGTTTAATTATAATAACATGTCTGGTCTTGTATTTTCAGGGGCAGGTAGTTGTCTGGAGACCCTTGGTGCAGACAAGCCACTGCTAGTGGTGGTCAATGACAAACTTATGGACAATCACCAGCTAGAGCTGGCCAAACAGCTACACCAAGACTCACACCTACTGTACTGCACCCCCAGGTCAGTGTAAATCCTCAACTTGATCACGAGGACTCACACTTTGTCACTGACATATTGTATATGTAGATTTCTGCTAATAAAGTCCTAGAGTTGTCAAACTGTGATTGAAATTTAGTAGGTCAACATACCCTTTTGTCTCAAATTATTTCACAGCACTCTTACTGAGACCCTGAAGACGATGGACCTTGCTGTTCTCTCACCCTTCTTACCTGGACAACCAAAGCATTTTGCCAATTTCCTGGACAAGGCCCTTGGTGTTCAATGATTCCAACGGAGGGCTGTCTCTGAGGTCAACTCAGTGTTCTGTTATGGACTCTGGAGATGTTTGCACTCTTCTTCTTCGTGTGGCTTTCCAGCAGACTAGACAATGTACTGCCTTCCGCAGGTCGGAGTGTGGATTGCACATTTTGGTCACCACCATCTAACCCTGCACCTATACACTATCCCCCAAAACCCACCGCTCCATCCCACTACGTTGGCCCTAAACCTATCCTACACCACGCCTTCAGCCTGGGAGGATGGAGCCCCTTCTCTCAAAACTTCCTGTAGCTCTTCTGCACTAAAATCTCTCACCCCAAAATATTTCTCTGCTGCTGCAACTACCACATGTCTTCTGTGATTTCCACTGCATCAGCGCAGTACAGTTGATCACCATGGCTATGATGTTTGCACTCGGAAACTCTCCTCATCTTTGAGATGAACTAGACGTGGGGTTGAGCAGAGGGTAGCCTACATTCTGTTTCCCTCTATGACACTCACAAGCTGCGCAGGACACATTAGAACAGACTGTGACAAAACCACATGATCTTCCCTTATTTTTTCCCGAACTTTCCAATTTCTGATACAATTCTCTCACTTTTTGATGCAAACTAAAGTTGTTACACCTTTCCCATATTCAAGTCATTTAACATATTTTCTTATTAGCTTTATGAACATAGAACTTGGTTGCAATTTGTATCTGTGCTAGAATGGCCATAATTGTATTTATTTATTATTATATATACAGTACCAGTCAAAAGTTTGGACACACCTACTCATTCCAGGGTTTTTCTTTATTTTTACTATTTTCTACATTGTAGAATAATAGTGAAGACATCAAAACTATGAAATAACACATATGGAATCATGTAGTAACCAAAAAAAGTGTTAAACAAATCAAAATATATTTTATATTTGAGATTCTTCAAATAGCCACCCTTTGCCTTGATGACAGCTTTGCACACTCTTGGCATTCTCTTAACCAGCTTCATGAGGTAGTCACCTGGAATGCATTTCAATTAACAGGTGTGCCTTGTTAAAAGTTAATTTGTGGAATTTCTTTCCTTTATTGCGTTTGAGCCAATCAGTTGTGTTGTGACAAGGTAGGGTTGGTATACAGAAGATAGCCCTATTTGGTAAAAGACCAAGTCCATATTATGGCAAGAACAGCTCAAATAAGCAAAGAGAAACGACAGTCCATCATTACTTTAAGACATGAAGGTCAGTCAATCTGGAAAATTTCAAGAACTTTGAAAGTCTCTTCAAGTGCAGTCGCAAAAACCATTAAGCGCTATGATGAAACTGGCTCTCATGAGGACCGCCACAGGAATGGAAGACCCAGAGTTACCTCTGCTGCAGAGAATAAGTTCATTAGAGTTACCAGCCTCAGAAATTGCAGCCCAAATAAATGCTTCACCTAGTTCAAGTAACAGACACATCTCAACATCAACTGTTCAGAGGAGACCGTGTGAATCAGGCCTTCATGGTCGATCTGCTGCAAATAAAGCACTATTAAAGGACACCAATAAGAAGAAGAGACTTGCTTGGGCCAAGAAACATGAGCAATGGACAATAGACCGGTGGAAATCTGTCCTTTGGTCTGATGAGTCCAAACTCTGTGTCTTTGTGAGACGCAGAGTAGGTGAACGGATGATCTCCGTATGTGTGGTTCCCACCGTGAAGCATGTAGGAGGAGGTGTGATGGTGTGGGGGTGCTTTGCTGGTGACACTGTCTGTGATTTATTTAGAATTCAAGGCAGACTTAACCAGCATGGTTACCACAGCATTCGGCAGCAATACGCCATCCCATCTGGTTTGCACTTAGTGGGACAATCATTTGTTTTTCAACAAGACAATGACCCAACACACCTCCAGGCTGTGTAAGGGCTATTTGACCAAGAAGGAAAGTGATGGAGTGCTGCATCAGATGACCTGGCCTCCAAAATTCATCCTACTTCAACCCAATTGAGATGGTTTGGGATGAGTTGGACCGCAGAGTGAAGGAAAAGCAGCCAACAAGTGCTCAGCATATGTGGGAACTCCTTCAAGACTGTTGGAAAAGCATTCCACGTGAAGCTGGTTGAGAGAATGCCAAGAGTGTGCAAAGCTGTCATCAAGGCAAAGGGTGGCTACTTTGAAGAATCTAAAATATATTTTGATTTGTTAACACTTTTTTGGTTACTACATGATTCCATATGTGTTATTTCATAGTTTTGATGTCTTCACTATTATTCTACAATGTAGAAAATAGTAAAAATAAAGAAAAACCCTTGAATGAGTAGGTGTGTCCAAACTTTTGACTGGTACTGTATATAAAAATGTAAACGCAACATGCAACAATTTTTAAGATTTTACTGAGTTACAGTTCATAGAAGGAAATCAGTCAATTTAAATAAAATCATTAGGCCCTAATTTATGGATTTAACATGACTGGGCAGGGGCGCAGCCATGGAAGGGCATAGGCCCACCCACTGGGGAGCCTGGCCTAGCCAATCAGAATGAGTTATTCCCCACAAAAGGGCTTTATTACAGACAGAAATACTCCTTAGCACACAATTCTCTAAAACAACGTTGGAGGCAGCTTATGGTAGAGAAATTAACATTACATTCTCTGGCAACAGCTCTGTTGGACATTCCTGCAGTCAACATGCCAATTGCACGCTGCCTCAAAACTTGAGACATCTCTGGCATTGTGTTGTGTGACAAAACGGCACATTTTAAAAGTGGCCTTTTATTGTCCCCAGCACAAGGTGCACCTGTGTAATGATCATGCCGTTTAATCAGCTTCTTGATATGCCACACCTGTCAGGTGGATGAATTATCTTGGCAAAGGAGAAATGCTCACTAACAGGGATGTAAACAAATTTGTGCCCAACATTTTTGAGAAATAAGCTTTTTGTGCTTATGGAACATTTCTGGGATCTTTTATTTCAGCTCATGAAACATGGGACCAACACTTAACATGTTGCGTTTATATTTTTGTTCAGTATAACTACAGTCTACAGAAGCTGAAACATATTCCAAAGAAAATTTAAATCATGTATTGACCCAGAATTTCCATATCGGTGGATCCCTAACTAAAATCTCGGACTGCCCTGTGCCTTGGGCCTCCAAATCACTAAGTCCGCCCCTGTCTGTTAAAAGGTCTGATCTGGCCATGTTCTATTTTAACCAGTTGAAGACAGGCTGATTAGGTATTAGATGCTTGTGGAAGGGGTATATTTTCAACTCGAAATGAGAGGAAAAACAGTAATGGATGTACACTGAGTATACAAAACATTAAGAACACCTGCTCTTTCCATGACATAGACTGACCAGGTGAATCCAGGTGAAAGCTTATTGATGTCACTTGTTAAATCCACTTCAATCAGGGTAGATGAAGGGGAGGAGACAGGTTAAAGAAGGATTTTTACGCCTTGAGACAATTGAAACATGGTTTGTGTATGTGTGCCATTCAGAGGGTGAATGGCAAGACAAAATAGGAAGGTGTTCCTAATGTTTGGTATACTCCGTGTACTGAGTGTAGATACAGTATATTGCAAATCTCATGCTGATTATTTGTTATGAACAGAACAAATTGCAAATATATATAATTTGATACACTATATATACCAAAGTATGTGGACACCCCTTCAAATTAGTGGATTTGGCTGAGTGGTTGCTGACAGGTGTATAAAATCGAGCACACAGCCACGCAATCTCCATAGACAAACATTGGCAGTAGAATGGCCTTACTGAAGAGCTCAGTGACTTTCAACGTGGCACGGTCATAGGATGCCACCTTTCTAACAAGTCAGTTCGTCAAATTTCTGCCCTGCTAGAGCTGCCCCGGTCAACTGTAAGTGCTGTTATTGTGAAGTGGAAACGTCTAGGAGCAACAACGGCTCAGCTGCGAAGTGGAAGGCCACACAAGCTCACAGAACGGGACCGCCGAGTGCTAAAGCGCAAAGTGCTTAAATATCGTCTGTCCTCGGTTGCAACACTCACTACCAAGTTCAAAACTGCCTCTGGAACCAAAGTCAGCACAATAACTGTTCATTGGGAGCTTCATGAAATGGGTTTCCATGGCCGAGCAGCCGCACACAAGCCTAAGATCACCATGCGCAATGCAAAAAGTCGGCTAGAGTGGTGTAAAGCTCGCCGCCATTGGACACTGGAGCAGTGGAAACGCGTTCTCTGGAGTGATGAATCACGCTTCACCATCTGACAGTCCGACGGACAAATCTGGGTTTGGCGGATGCCAGGAGAACGCTACCTGCCCCAATGCATAGTGCCAACTGTAAAGTTTGGTGGAGGAGGAATAATGGTCTGGGGCTGTTTTTAATGGTTTGGGTTAGGCCCGTTAGTTCCAGTGAAGGAACATTTTAACGCTACAGCATACAATTGACATCCTAGACGATTCTTTGCTTCTAACTTTGTGGCAACAGTTTGGGGAAGGCCCTTTCCTGTTTCAGCATGACAATGCCACCGTGCACAAAGCGAGGACCATACAGAAATGGTTTGTTGAGATTGGTGTGGAAGAACTTGACTGGCCTGCACAGATCCCTGACCTGAACCCCATCGAACCCCTTTGGAATTAATTGGAACGCGGACTGCGAGCCAGGCCTAATCGCCCAACATCAGTGCCCGACCTCACTAATGCTCTTGTGGCTGATTGGAAGCAAGTCCCCGCCGCAATGTTCCAACCTCTAGTGGAAAGCCTTCCCAGAAGAGTGGAGGCTGTTATAGCAGCAAAGGGGGACCAACTCCATATTCATGCCCATGATTTTGGAATGAGATGTTCGACGAGCAAGTGTCCACATACTTTTGGTCATTTAGTGTATATTAAATCTGTTTTAGAAGACTTGCTGTATTGTTCATATTTGCTATTGTCTTGATATGGTTGTTATGTTGTCTGGACGTGTGATTCAGCTTGTCGTTCACGAATGACGACACTAGTCAGCACACTGTAATAAGGCTGACATAGGTAGGAGTAGGATTGTGCTCTGGCATCAAAACTAACACCACATCCTGTTCAGACAGAGATTAAGGCAGACAGTAAGCAGGCTCCAAAATAAAAGACCAACAAAAGGAGAAGAAAACATCTCCTTTTGTGTCGCAATTAATATTATGACTTCATAATCATGTATCCAATCCATGGAATGTTTATCAAAAAGCTTTCGTGACTTAGGCTTCTCATTCTCGCGAGGGACTCCGGTATCTCACAGCTTCTTGAATGATGTTCATCTATATTAAACACGGAGGTAAGACCAAAGTCATATTATGAATTCAACTAGTTTCACATTTTATGTTTGCAGTATTAGAAATTGTATTTAAAATAATTTCCTTATTTCTATCCTACCTTTGCAGACAATGATCAGTTTCTGGCCAACACCAACTGCCCTGTGGTTCTCCTGCTGCAGTACATGAGAGCTAAGATGGGCCTGCTGGAGACGGGTGGGAGTTCAGAGGGGGGGTCATCAGGGAGGGTGGGATGGAGGCCTGGAGGGTGATGATGACAGTTTCCTGATTGAAATGCTGCTGTGCCAATGGTCCCTAAGGCCATTGCTCTTACAGGCAAGGGGGGGCTTGAGTCTATCCCAAGTTTAGTACCACTGTTGTAACTAAGGCAGGGAATGTGGATGGAGAGTGCTGATGTGAGAATCATGGATGTGGTTTGGGGTGCCGAAACGTGTGTGTGGGGGTTCACCGGAGGCTGGCGTTAAATATTTCACACTGCTCAACTCCAATGGTGTCTGCTTACACCTGCTGGGTCCTGCTACACTCACCACTGCTTTAGAGCAAGGCCCAGAGCAAGCTTCCTGCAATAATGATGCTAGCATTACCACTCTCATTAGCACTGACATTAATGGGGCTTGCTGATGAGTGGGTGTGACCATCGCAAGGCTATCAGCTGTAAATCACACACTCAGCCATCTCTAATGGACACCAAGCATGTTATATTCAACCAGTCTTGGTTCTCTCTTCAGATGGATAGATGTCTTAAATGTGTCTATGTGCATGTGTGTTTCAGAGCTGGTGGATCTGTGTGATGACCACGGGGCTCTGAAGCTTCTCTTTCTGTCCCAGCAGCCTCAGGAGAGTGCCAGCCGACTACTTTCTCCCCGCTGCTCCCTCACATTCTCCATTGTTAATCGTGAGTTCTATGAAAGTAGAACCACTAGAGTGGACAAGGCCTCTATGAAACTATTTATAATTGCCGAAAAAGGAGTTTCTATCTATACATGGCTCTTCTTTGTTTTGAAGTATTTGTTTATCTTATCAGGTAACCCAAAGGATGGTGCCTATGTTTCCATTACCCCCTTAGTGGCCAACCCAGACCCTGCACTTCTGGGTAACTATAAACTCTGCTTGTTAATTATGTGTGTGCATTTGCATAAAGTAGTTCATGTGTATCTTCTGTAGGATATACACTGCTCAAAAAAATAAAGGGAACACTTAAACAACACATCCTAGATCTGAATGAATGAAATAATCTTATTAAATACTTTTTTCTTTACATAGTTGAATGTGCTGACAAAATCACAAAAATTATCAATGGAAATCAATTTATCAACCCATGGAGGTCTGGATTTGGAGTCACCCTCAAAATTAAAGTGGAAAACCACACTACAGGCTGATCCAACTTTGATGTAATGTCCTTAAAACAAGTCAAAATGAGGCTCAGTAGTGTGTGTGGCCTCCACCCCTACAACGCCTGGGCATGCTCCTGGTGAGGTGGCGGATGGTCTCCTGTGGGATCTCCTCCCAGACCTGGACTAAAGCATCCGCCAACTCCTGGACAGTCTGTGGTGCAACGTGGCATTGGTGGATGGAGCGAGACATGATGTCCCAGATGTGCTCAATTGGATTCAGGTCTGGGGAACGGGCGGGCCAGTCCATAGCATCAATGCCATCCTCTTGCAGGAACTGCTGACACACTCCAGCCACATGAGGTCTAGCATTGTCTTGCATTAGGAGGAACCCAGGGCCAACCGCAACAGCATATGGTCACAAGGGGTCTGAGGATCTCATCTCAGTACCTAATGGCAGTCAGGCTACCTCTGGCGAGCACATGGAGGGCTGTGCGGCCCCCCCAAAGAAATGTCACCCCACACCATGACTGACCCACCGCCAAACCGGTCATGCTGGAGGATGTTGCAGGCAGCAGAACGTTCTCCACGGCGTCTCCAGACTCTGTCACGTCTGTCTCATGTGCTCAGTGTGAACCTGCTTTCATCTGTGAAGAGCACAGGGCGCCAGTGGCGAATTTGCCAATCTTGGTGTTCTCTGGCAAATGCCAAACGTCCTGTACGGTGTTGGGCTGTAAGCACAACCCCCACCTGTGGACGTCGGGCCCTCATACCACCCTCATGGAGTCTGTTTCTGACCGTTTGAGCAGACACATGCACATTTGTGGCCTGCTGGAGGTCATTTTGCAGGGCTCTGGTAGTGCTCCTCCTGCTCCTCCTTGCACAAAGGCGGAGGTAGCGGTCCTGCTGCTGGGTTGTTGCCCTCCTACGGCCTCCTCCACGTCTCCTGATGTACTGGCCTGTCTCCTGTAGCGCCTCCATGCTCTGGACACTACGCTGACAGACACAGCAAACCTTCTTGCCACAGCTCGCATTGATGTGCCATCCTGGATGAGCTGCACTACCTGAGCCACTTGTGTGGGTTGTCGACTCCGTCTCATGCTACCACTAGAGTGAAAGCACCGACAGCATTCAAAAGTGACCAAAACATCAGCCAGGAAGCATAGGAACTGAGAAGTGGTCTGTGGTCACCACCTGCAGAACCACTTCTTTATTGGGGGTGTCTTGCTAATTGCCTATAATTTCCACCTGTTGTCTATTCCATTTGCACAACAGCATGTGAAATGTAATGTCAATCAGTGTTGCTTCCTAAGTGGACAGTTTGATTTCACAGAAGTGTGATTGACTTGGAGTTACATTGTGTTGTTTAAGTGTTCCCTTTATTATTTTGAGCAGTGTATTTGTTTACCCTAGGTCTTAGTGTGTGTCTATATGTTGTACCTGTTTGTTTGTGTTTTAGAGAGCCTGCAGACTCAGACTGACAGCCTGGAGAGGGCTCGTCTCAGACAGCTCCGCTCTCAGAAGGACCGCAGAGCCAAAGAGGCGCCCACTCAGACTCAACCCGTGAGTGTGTGTGCATGTGTGTCTATGTGCTCCATCAATTACTTGGGCATATAGAAGTTTAAAACAAAAATATAAGTCTTAGAAGTGTTTTTATTTTATTTTTGTACCCAACTTTTGTGCTGTGTCCCAAAGGCTAAGAGCCGTGGCCGTGCGGTACATATGGACGCCCCTGACGACGAACCCTCCAATCGCCGGACTGGAGGCAGGAGGAGCAGGAACTGAGAGAACCTATCAATTTTACAATCATTTATGTACACATAATGGTGGAAATATGATCAAGTGGACCCTGAGTCTATGTAAGTCTAAGCTAGCCAATAGTCAACAATGTTGAATAATACAGTCGTCGTGAACCCTTCGTGGAACTCTTGATCAACACGACAATCCTGGGATTCTTGTGTTTTCACAATCATACCTAACCAGACCCTGTTATACACTGGATTGTGTAGGGTACATTTCTGGGTTTGATCCTCTTGGTGTACCCCCATTCAGACCAAAGGTAAGTCCTGGGTCTGTATTGCATTGTGGAAGATGCAATGATCATTATCAATGATTTACAGAGAACAAGGTTGTTGTACCAAATATGACCAGAAGGGAGAGATAAGATTCAACAGGTCCAGTGAAGTATTTTTTGTTTGTTTGTTTGTTTAAGCAAGTGTTGTGAGTGCCTATGATGGTGCTGCTAATGGGAATAAATATTCACATTCTTGTCTTTACAGACTTACAGTCTGGATTAACAATGTTTTTCATCTGTAGTGGGTGCTATAAAAAGCCCTATTATTCATATATACATATATTCTAGAAATCGTATGACTATAGATAGAAATAGAAATGTCTTATCCAATTGTTACACTCCCACGTCTAATACGCTTTAAGTTCTGAAAGGAAGAGAGTTTTAAGATGGTCCCTTGAAATTAAGTGATGTCACTTTCTGCTTCTGTGATTGGTGGGTATGAATACCTGTTTGTTACCAAGCTTTAATCAGTTGGGAAAATTGGATGAAAATAACTTAATTGGGGAAAATATATTTAGAATGGGTGTGAAATCATAACTGAAGCTCTGACATCAGTGTTTATTTTCCAATAGTGAGAGGTTTTTTTTGTCTCTTAATCTTTCTTTTCGTCGAGGTGTTATTGCAATAATTATGTGTCTTGCAATATGATCAACATGCACATTTTGCTTTTTGAGGCTTTATCAGATTAATTTTCTTCTTGAAATTCATTTATCTTGACCAGTGAGTGAACTTTAAATTAGGGGTGGTATGTTCAGACTAACTGACTGAGGGACTGAGTGGTGTGACAGTGGGCTAACTAACTGAAATGTCTTACAGTGGGCTGACTGACTGAGGGACTGAGTTGTGTGACAGTGTGCCAGTCCCTCTGCTAAAGGTTTATTTAGCCACCTCTGGTGGGTGGCTTGGCACTGTGAAACAGGAAGTCGTGGGTGAAATGCCAGCAGGTGGTTCCTCCCAGTGTTTGTGGTTTACCATATCTTCTAAGTTATGTACAGGCCTGGATCAGATGGTTTCAACGGCTCCATAGTGTACGTGCCTGGTAACATTTGGCACATTGTTGTTCGTGGGGTGACTGCCTGGGGGATTTTGAGGAAGAGTTACCAGAGTGTGGAGGGTAGCATTACTGCACAGCGGCAGAAGATTATGAAATAACTTGTTCTCTTGCTGCTGGTAGATGGCTATGAGCCAGAGTTTGATTAGTAAAAGATTACTAACTTCCTTCCCTAGAATCACTGGATTCATTTGTTCATGTATGTCTGTGAAAAGCCCATTAACGGCAAGGAACAAAGTCCTTGATTTTGCTTCACCACAGCACCCATTTTGTTGAAGTGCCATCTTTTTCAACTATGTATTCCTAAACTGAAACAAACACCTCAAGAAAGGGAAGAAGGATGCATTTTAGAAGTGTTTGTATAGGGCTACTGTGTCAGGCCATACTATGTAGGCCATTACAGCTGTGTCTTGCAGATGCCCTAACTAACCACTTGCTAAAGACTATAAAATAGGGAAGTAAGTCAGCTGTTGTAAAAAGTTACACTGAGAGTCTAGACGTCATTTAGAAAGATGGAGAGTTGTGACATAGGAAACTCAGAAAGGATGCTCTTTGAGCAACTATTCATCAGTGGTGGAAAAAGTACCCAATTGTCATACTTGAGTAAAAGTAAAGATCAAATCAAATCAAATGTTATTTGCCACATGCGCCGAATACAACAGGTGTAGACCTTACAGTGAAATTCTTACTTACAAGCCCTTAACCAACAATGCAGTTTTAAGAAAAACAAGTGTTAAGTAAAAAATAGATAAGTAAAAAAATAAAAATAATGAAAGAGCAGCAGTAAAATAAAATTACAGTAGGGAGGCTACAGGGGGTACCGGTACAGAGTCAATGTGCGGTAATATGTACATGTAGTTAGAGTTAACGTGACTATGCATAGATAATAAACAGAGTAGCAGCAGCGTAAAAGAGGGGGTGGGGTGGGATGGGGGGACAATGCAAATAGTCCGGGTAGCCATGATTAGCTGTTCAGGAGTCTTATGGCTTGGGGGTAGAATCCGTTAAGATGCCTTTTGGACCTAGATGTGGCGCTCCGGTACCGCTTGCCGTGCGGTAGCAGAGAGAACAGTCTATGACTAGGGTGGCTGGAGTCTTTGACAATTTTTAGGGCCTTCCTCTGACACCGCCTGGTATAGAGGTCCTGGATGGCAGGAAGCTTGGCCCTAGTGAGATGATATCTCTTCCCTCAATGAATATTCAGCTACTTCACCCTCACATGGGGATGAGATAATGAATATAGGCCTTAGTTTAGCTAATGAACAAAATACAGTTAAATGAATACAGTTAAACAAAGGTCCAGTGAAATGTAGTAGCCTCATTCCTTAAAAGGAAATGACTCAAGTAAAATGAAAGTCACCCAGTAAAATACTACTTGAGTAAAAGTCTACAAGTATTTGGTTTTAAAATATACTTAAGTATCAAAAGTAAATGTAATTGCAAAAATGTCCTTAAGTATCAAAAGTAAAAGTGAAAGTATAAATAATTTCAAATTCCTTATATTAAGCAAACCAGATGGCACCATTTTCTTGTTTTCTTAATTTACGGATAGCCAGGAGCACACTCCAACACTTAGACATCATTCAGAAACAAAGCATTTGTGTTTAGTGAGTCCGCCAGATCAGAGGCAGTAGAGATGACTAGGGATGTTCTCTTGATACATGTGTGAATTAGACCATTTCTGTCCTGCTAAGTATTCAAAATGTAACAAGTACTTTTATGGATGGAGTAAAAAGTACATCATTTTCTTTAGGATTGTAGTGAATTAAAAGTAAAAGTTGTCAAAAATATAAATAGTAAAGTAATGTACAGATACCCCAAAAAACGACTTAAGTAGTACTTTAAAGTATTTTTACTTAATTACTTTACACCACTGCTATTCATTCGATATTTTCATTAGCCTACTTAGTAAATCAGAATATTGTGTATGAAAACATGATTTAGTGTGCCATGTAATACTAACATCACTAACATCATCATGAACCTTGGAGATGGGATAATGGGGTTATTAACTATTCCAAGAAGTGTTATGAGTCTTTGCCCTTTGCTGCAAAACCGCTTGCTCAGGTTGCTATCAGTCACTTTATGCAACCCTTGTTGCATTGTCAAATTGTACCTTTAGAAACATCTAATGGAATGTTCTAACATTCTTTCATGAAAAATTACACTTATGAAATGACCCCTCCAGTTCAATTGTGGAGAGGTTGCTCTCTATTCTGATCATTTAGATTAGAGTTAGCTGGTTCAGACTGGTCTTGTCTTACCCTAAATGGGTAACGCATTATATTTTTGTGGACATAAACGTGTGTTAATCTAATATGTATTCAGGCCTTAGAATCTAGTGGCTCAGCTTTTCTCCTCTCTAGTTCCTCCAGCAGTTACAACGATTACATCTAGCACATTCAAAGGATATTCAAACATTTAAAAGTAAAGTCATATGAAATATGTCATGGTATTTCATCAGTTATTATGACATGTGCAAGGGGAAATATTTCAGGCTGGTGCAATTTCAGTGACCAGCAGTCCATAGCTCTAAGGGGTGTGCTAACAAGGCTGACTTGTCATTGCTCTGAGCTTGTTTTGTGTGCCTGGATGTGTTTTTAGCAGCAGCAGAATGAGAATGCTGGTACAGCAGTCCCCTCTCCCAGTGGAACTGGGGCAACGATGACTGTGAGCTGTCATCATTAATGGGGGTGAATCTTGGGTAACTGTCTCTCTCACCATTCACTGGTAGTTTATTGATTCCCTTCACAGATGACTCAGTCAATGTCAATAACTCCTGATATTATAGACCCATATAAGGCCCAAGATCTGAATAAACTCCTTGTTCTAGAAAAATAGCTAACACTGATGAGATTGAAGGGGGGGGGGGGGGGGGGGTCAAGGTCTTTGAACTCAGCAGGCTAATTACCCTGTCTAATGACGGAAAATATTTAGACCTCATATGTTCCCTTGAAGTAAACAGATGCGTTTCACACTCACTCCCTGTAGGTCTCTCACTTCACCTCTCTTCTCTACCTCAGCCTTGTTGCTTTTTTATTTTTTTAAATTTTAGTCATTTGGCAGACGCTCTTATCCAGAGCGACTTACAGTTAGTGAGTGCATACATTTTTTTTCATACTGGCCCCCCGTGGGAATCGAACCCACAACCCTGGCGTTGCAAGCGCCATGCTCTACCAACTGAGCTACACGGGGCTTATGCCGTCTTTCTCCTGAGGGAGGCAGAGGCCAATAGTGTAAGAAGCTACTTTTGGCAATAAAACAAACTACATTTAAAATCTTTAGATTGTAAATGTAAAATGTAATAGAATAACATTTACATAAATCTGAGTTTATTCGTCATATACACAGGATACAGCGGGGTGTAAATGGTACAAGGAGTAAATGCTTACTCCTCTCAACAGTGCAGTAACCATAAAATATAAAGTAAAACTACTCAATAACAGTCTTGTTTGTGTCTCAAAGACCCACCATTTTCTTTAAAGGTCCAATGCATCCATTTTTATCTCAATATTAAATCATTTCTGGGTATCAATTAAGTACCTTACTGTGATTGTTTTCTATTAAAATGGTCAAAAAGAAACAAAAATAGCTTCATAGCAAAGAGCAATTTCTCAAGCAAGAATGTTGCTAGGACTGTCTGGGAGTGGTCTGAGTGGG